CCCTAATGACACAAAATGTCTGTAAACTGCATCAGTTATTGTCACATAGGGGAAATAAAAACAGCTTTGGGCTTTTCTTCATGTGTGTAAGTTATTCCTCCCCATTAGGTTTCTGTGCCAGTTTGTCTTTGCTAGCTGCAAAGCATCATGAATGGTAAGTACACTTCAGGGGCCCTCGAAGAACTTGGGAAAGAATGGTTTTGTTAAGCTTCCTTATGATTGGTTTTAGGATATTTATTTAAAACTTTGCCACTGTACTTCCAGCTTTCATATCTTGCTGTGTTTGGCTTTCAAATAATGACACAGAACATGAATTAATTCTCGTTTCTTTTTCACAACTGTTGTTCTTAGTGAGAAAAATCAAAATGTGTCCCAACAATGCTGTAAACAGTCTTAAATTTTCATTACCTCATTACACATCTTCATATAGAAATTTCTGCCCCATGGGATTTTATTTCCTTCAGTTTGTGACATATTTTTACAACACTCATTTTTGACTTAGAAAGAGGAAATACAATGCACTTTAAAAGTTATTAGCCAGAATAAGTTAATTTTTTTAAATCACTCAGTAGTTATTAAATTGATATAAAATCATAATTTTGGTATTAATGCCAATATAATGTTAATCATCATGTTCTTGAAGATGTAAATTGTTCCCTTTTATCCTTCTAAATCTAAGCATAACTAGTCCTCAAAAACTCAACTATGTTTTTGCTGTTACTTAAGGAGGTAAGAAGCTCCACAGAAGACATAAATATTCACTTTATTTCATACTCAACTCTGTCAGCTATGCAGCAGTCCTGTGCGTAAAGACTCAGTCTCTCAGATACTGTGGCCTGTGTATTTAACATATGGGAAGGCAAGCCATGGGGGTGTATGTCAATAATGGATTTATAAGCTCAGCTGCTGCCAGGTGCTTACAAACTGGCTGACAAATTTGGTATGCTTGAAGTCTGAAGTGCAATATTCATACAGTGGCAGAGCTGCAGGCCCCAGTCTCACAAGGTGTTTCTTCTCTGTTGCAGGTGGGCAACCCTACTCGTGCCCTTCCACCACTACCTCACAAGGCAGACTCATCCCAGCAGCTTTCTGGCTCTGAACAATAGGTGGTACAGTTAGTTTCATCCTCCTAGTTTTCTTCCCTTCTTCTTTACCTTCTTTAATTACAACTCAGGCTACACTTTACCACTGAATATGGACTTCAAACTCTATTTGTATGAGGCCTACCAATGCCTCAGCTTCTAAACAAGTTTTACAAGCAGTGATTAACAAAACCCTCATATAGCATGGTATGAAAGCATCAGGAAAAATTCCTATATGATGTGATTCTGTTGAAGTAGCTGGCTTAGATTAGGGAATAAGACAGCCCTTTATATCTACATTAATCTGGGGTTTACTAATTCCTAAAGAAAACACTACTGCAGGTTTTTTCCTAACTCTTAGTTGAGTCAAAGGTTCAATTTTAGAGTGTTTGCATCTGATTAACTTATTTCTTTAATACGATCCAGAGATGCTATTAAATTAAATGAACATAAAATCAAGTGACTGATGAACAACAGGAGTCCATTTCTTTTCATAGGTTAGACTGCTTGTAATGAAGATACAATGATCAGTCTTAAAGAATCAAAGGATCTTCCCAAAGGTGAATGAGATCAACACCAAGGGCAACATGCAGATTTTGATAAGCAGGTATCTATAACTAACTATGCAAATGAAACACTGGACTCTTATTTCAGGCCCTAGAGGGTTCTTTTAATCAACCACATCTTGTGCAAAAGGCTTCAGTGCGTCTTTTTGAGTTTCAGCGCAAGCACTCATGTTCTTTTGTTCTATATACAGTTTCTGAGCATGTTTTCTCATAGGTTATTAATTCTGTATCAGCTGGCATAACTTTCCCTTGATGCTGTGGCTCTGGATGGCAGGGCTACAGAACTCTGCTGCCTTTTCACTGACGGAGCTGAAGAGATATTGTTAGGAGTGGGTGCTGCAGCACCGTGTCCGTGTCAGTCATGGATTTGTGCTGGATTGATCTCTGCCTACAGAAAGTGTTCTCTTCCAGTTTGCATGTCAATGTTCAGGGGCTGGAATATTGTCTTTGCAGCATTCTCTTTCAGGAAGTGCTGAGGGCAATTAACAAATACTAATTATTAATTAGTATTTGAGGCAGGGCTTTATTTTGGTTACTGCCAACAAAGAAGAGAGATTTGTTGCTGTCTAGGGCCCTTTCTGTATGTCCTGCAATCAGTGTATGCCCATATCAAGCACCATACCTGATATGGTGACTATGATACTTACGAATGTTTAGAAGAGTTAGTGTCTGTCTTCACTGAGTCCAGATTACACTGGTTATCAAAGTCTCTTCAATTCCCAAAGTATCTTGGGAATTTAAAAAATATTCTAGCTCCTGCCTATATAGCCCCTCTGCAACTGGATTGTTGTAGGGGTACAGATACTTGAACCTATTAAATACAGCTTCACACCAATTTTATGCTTATGCTTACCTTAGTGTTACCTAGCCTTTTTGTATTAGTTGTCATGCACTGTGCAAGGTTATATACTCTTGTACTTCATAAAAGTGGGATGTGACCCCATGGAAAATATACTGACAAATCAAAATTCGTAATCGGTTTAAAGTTCAAGGGTGCAGCCAAATCCTGAGCCAGGGTAATTTGACCTAGATTCACGGAAGTAGATCCGCAGTGAACTACATAAACAGAAGAACCCTGTCCCACTGTGCTTGCCGTCATATGGTGGGGATCCCAAGGAAACACTTAAAGCCTGATGAATGCTGTAGTTTGCTACTTCAGCAAAATGAAGTTTCGGATTTAAAAGGAATATGTTTCCTTCTGCTACTTTCTAGAAATAATAATGACTGAACACCAAGGATGCTGAGGAAACTCACTCAGTTGAGTTGAAGGGACACTAGCAACATACGCCTGCTCATTTCTGTGCCACTAGAGAAGGGAGTGCTAAAACAGTGTTTCCACTACTTGGGCCAAAAAGCTACATTTGTCATTCATTTGCTCCTGATACCTTTGGTAGTATCATCCTGTGTTCTGTGTCCCCCTGTCCCCAAGCTCCAGGACCATCTAGACATCGACATGCTGTAACTTTTAACCCCGTATTAAATGTAATTGCAACAGTTTTCATCAGAAGTTCAGAGTTTGGATTCAGTAGCTAATGTTCCAAGGACACTCTTTAAAAATTTTAGAACAAAGCAACCTTTAGCCGCCACACACCCTCACAGATTTTTCCCAGTTTTTCCATTCTCCCCCCAGAATGCCTGTATGTGTGAGTAATAAGGCTTGGGAAATCTCAGCAGCTTTTCAACACTAAGGTTACTGGAGGTACAGAAAAGCAGAACTTGCTCACAGCTCTGGTGTTTTCTGGATATTGCTGACAGCTGTTTGAAGAATATTTTCAATATTAATTAAACAGTTTTAAGACCCAGAAATAACAGGTTAAGGGTATGTCTCAGCTATCATTTCCATTAGTATAAATACAAGGTTGTCTATGCCTATGTATGACAGTGAATCTTTCCTTGACTTGCACCAGTGTAACCGACTCATCTCAGTCCTGGAAGGCCTCAAACTAAAATATTTAAACTGGCTCAGGCTATTTTTCTTTCCAGTGGACTCAGCACTTCTGAGCACCTGGATGTTAGCTGTACCCCTTACTGACAAATAATGCACATTACCTTCTGCCACACCAGGTGTTGTCATAACTGCCTTCACTGTATTGAGGAAGACACTATCAATGGCTGGTGTTAACTTAGGCTTTGTGCAGTTATGGTAACTTTGTCATGTATTTTGTGTTTATGTTTCACCGTACATGGTAAGAAATAGGAATTCAATAATGCAGTCGAAAATCATTCAGGGGGTCCTAGGCAGCATAAGGTACTGCACTATTCATGATCTTCATTCATTAGGCTCTTTCCATTGCTGTTACCATAAGTCTGAGTTGATTGCAAATAGACTATATAGGAGAAAAAGATTCACATTGACAGCATGTGGATACATGACAGTGAGGAAGAGGACTCATGTTAATTAATGGAAAGACTATTTTAATATTATTCACGTCTGAATTGGTGGGATATGGGAGAACTGCAAATGATTTTTTATGTACGGAAGGCAGAATTTACTATATATGATGCGAAGGCATTTGAAAAAAAAAAGTAGTAAAAAGTATTTTTAATATTAAATCATATCTAGGAAAAACTATGTTCTGCTGTTAATTGTGTTCCAAGCTTCTGATATGACAAGCTTGGACAAGTTATTCATCCCACTGTACCTCAGACTTTAAGGCTGCAAAATACCTGTATGCTACTGTTCTGCTTTGTCAGGTCAGCCTTACACTTCATGCATTACTGTTTATAAACAGGATCAGGTCCTCTGGGGAAGTTACTATGGCTGCAAAGGCACAATGTGCTATGGGGAAATGGTCCTACTCCCTCAATAGATGACTGCATGGTCCCACTGTAACTGTTAAAATGCTGAACTGTAATCTAAAACTCTATTGTTCATTCATTACCTGGAAGAAAAGAAAGTGTTCCACTACAGACTGTGCGGCTAACGCAAGAGGTTCTGTTAGCATACCGCCAGGAATAAGCCGTTTATGTAACACGCTCAAGTGCACCTCGAAATAGAGAAACCCGTGAGCGTGGAAGGGCGGCGGGACCGCCTGCGCGGGGGGGCACATCGCTCTCTCCCGCCGCCCGGTTCCCCCATCTGACCGTCCCCGCACGGCCCGGCCCTCCCGCCGCCTGGGGAATGCGTCGCCGTGGGGTGCATCGCCGTGGGGTGGGTGCTGCTGCAGCTCAGAGCATTTGCACCACCCCCTGCTAAATACCCCAAACCCATTCCACGGCCCTAACGGGACCCGTAGGAGTGGGGGCAGGGAGCATGAGCAGCAGTCAATCAACCGCGGGCTGGGAGCGGACCTGGGGAAGGTAACGGAGGGAATTGGGGTCAGGGTCCCCGGTGGCGGCGGGGGACACTCACCATGGCGGCGGGGCGGTGGCGGCGGAGCGCTGTCCAGGGTATCGGCCGGCTCGGCTCGGCTCGGCTCTGCCGGCGCTGCCCGCCGCGCCCGCGCTATAAGGCACCGCCTCCTCCCCGGCTCCGCCGCGCCCGCCCCCGCCTGCGGACACACGGCGAGAGGGACCGATGCCGGACCCCGGCTCCAGGCAGCATCGCCCCCCCGGCGACGCCCAGGGTTCCTTGAGGGTCCCCGCTGCGCACAGGGAGCCGGTGGAGTGCAAAGAGGGCCGGGAGATGGTGGCGAGAAACGTCAGGGAGGTGGGGATGCAATAGCTGAGAGGGAGCAGGGGTCCACAGAACCACAGAACGGTTTGGGTTGGAACGGACCATAAAGATCACGTGGTTCCAACCCCCTGCCATGGGCAGGGACACCTTCCACTAAACCAGGTTGCCCAACTTGACCTTGAACAATCCCAGGGATGGGGCAGCCACATCTTCTCTGGGCAATGAGTTGAGCAACTCTGCTCCACCACAGCCCTAGGCATCTCTGTGGATATGGCCATGGACATGGCAAAACTGTTGGGAAGGTTAATTTCAGAGGGGTCTCCACTGGTAGGCTGGTTTGGGAGTGGACAGGGTCATGGGCTGGCTGCTGTGATACTGACATGACCCTGTTGTGTTTAACAGAGGGTTTGGTCTATAGCCCAGCACTTACTCATATTTGCAGTTGAAGTTCTCTGATCTGAAGCCCTGAATACTCCACACAGTGTGCCAAAGTGAGATCGATGTTGCCCCACCGTCTGACTGTGTCAACTCCCCAGAGATCTATTAGGGAAGAGTTGATAAGCAAATGTTGATTTACGTTAGCTAGAGAAGAGGTAGAAATCATACAGGGCAGGAGCTACTGACCCCATCACAACTCTACCACTGATACAGAATAGAAAATGATTGGGGAAGAGGAGAGGCTTGTGCTTGGTGGAACAAACACAAAATTTCATGGCTTCAATCACGCCTGATTTTTGCTCTAAATGCTAATGAAGCCTTATATCTCCTGTAAAACACTTATTTAAACTATCACAGCTTATTGAAAATGCCCTGCTTCTTTTTCCATTTTTAATAAAGCAGTATTTGGCATTTGAAATCAAAATAATCTTTCTTAAAATATTTAAATTCTTCATTTTAATCCTATTTTCTAAATTAAAACTTGTAAAAAATTACATGTTCAGACATGCGCTGCCATTGCTGCCCTCTGAGCTCTGTCCATAGTTTTATTGACTACAGCTCACAGTCTTTCCTGGTTTCAGTGTTTCAAGGAGTAGAAATATCCTAAGAGGTCCATGTGTGGTGCAACACAGGTGACATCTTCACACCTTAGAGTGCACTTGATGTATAGATGGGCTATATTTGTCCAAAATGAAGTGCTGATGTTCTAAACCCTGAGACTTCCTTTCTGGTAGGCTTTGTCCATGTACTACTTCATCCCCCCTCATCCCTGCTGGCCCAAGCTGCAGAGACCCACCAAAGGCTGTGAGAATGGCTGGCTTCCCAGGGCTGCCAGCCCAGCAGTGACACTGCCAGGAGCGTCACATGAAAGCGTGTCCTCGTGTGACTTCTAGCCCACTTTTACAGATGCAAATTTGTTTGCTCAAGCTTCCAGTTTCCAGTGTATCAGTCAACTGGACTGCCATGATTCCTGAGGTTGACCTGCCAGCCTTTCTTCCAACTTATCTTATTTTTTTAGGTTATTCATTAAATTATTTCTGCATTACCACAGACCATCTCAAAATATTGACAAAAACTACCTTTCGATATCTATTCTGCCCTCAGAGTAACTGTTCCCTCAGCAGAAAATTTCCTCTTTGTCCAAGAGATTTTTCCATAGGTGCTGTGGAGCAAGGAGCAGCTTGGAAGCTGACTGACAGAGAAATATGTTAGTGACTCAGACCAGTGGAATACTTCAGCCTCATAATTTTTGTTCCCAATTCTTTATAATCCAAACAGGCTGAAGTTAATGTGTCAAGCCAAACCCAGATCTAAGAACAGGGTAATACAAACTATTTTTTCTTTATTATTGTTTTTCTTTGACAAAAATAGAAAGGAAACATGCTGAATTTTGCTAAAGATTAAACACTTTTAATTTCTAGGGTTCCTTGTGCCTGACACATTACATTAATACTAATCAATATAATTTTCTTCCATAGTAACAATTTTGTTTTTATTGAAACTGTGATGTCAGGTACCACTGATCAGCCAATGAAGACACACATATGAAACAAACAGGATTCTTGTGGCATCTCAAAGAAACTGTAATAGTATTACTGATACTTTTAACACTTATTTAATGGCCTGAATTTGGAGATTTAAAGGTTGTGGCAGGATTCAGATTCATCAGTTTTGTATGAAGGGCAATGTCATGCATTTAGTTGAAGCCTGGGCACTGGGCATAGCAGAGCCCTGCCATGCACGTGAGTTTTTACTGGTTGTTGAATAGCATGTTGTCATGAAAGGAAGGGTGGAGAAGTCAACATACATAAAAATGGAATTGCATAGTTCCAGCTGAAATTCCCCAGAAACAAGGAAAGTAACTGGAAGCAATTAAAGCCGCACTTCATTCTGAGGTGATGATGAAATGCCACAGGGGGTTAGCTTGAGTCCTGATTGGGATTGTTGTAGGTTGGACCACATCACAATTTACAGAAACACAGAGGCCTGAGGTTGGCAGGGATCATCTGGTCCAACCCCCTGCTCAGGCAGGGCCTCCTACAGCCAACTGCCCAGAGCTGCGTCCAGTCAGACTTTGAACATCTCTGCACCATAGGAAAAGCATCATTGAGCTGCAATGAATTCAGAGCTCCCAGGTCCCACTGGCCTCACAGCTCAGAGGGAAACACGGTGGACAAGGTACCACTGATCAGTCAGCTACCAGCAACTCTTGGCTCCTGCTAAGTGTCCATCAGTAGTATTTAGCTTTAGTTTGGAAAAGCAATGTGACATCAAGACATGTCTCCCATTGCCAGTCACTGCTCTTGATCACGATCTCCTCCAAAGCCTGGAATTTAAACTCAGGACCTGCCTGTTTCACAGAACTGTCCTGTCGGGAGCATCTGTCCAACTCAATGGCAAAGTGCCTCTTCTTTCCTCTAGCAGCTAGTTCAGACAAAGGAGGTTATCCATTCTTTTTCTCATTTTATGGGCACAGGACAATGGTTATGTACCTAAAGATCCCGGCTGTGCTAGTGGTACCATGGGGAGTTACCAGGTCAATATGACAGAATTTCTGTTAGCTCTCAGTGAGTGCTTGAGAACTTGAGAATTAAATCTGAGTAACCAGGATGAAGCAAAAAGACTTTGTAATTTATCAAAACTGATTTGAAAATTTGTCCTCATTTTTGAATGTGGTATGCAAAGTTCTGTCTACAATGTACTTTTTTCTATGCTTTTCATTTTTGAAACTATAGCTGGTGTGAACTGTCTGTACAACTAAAAGTAAAACTTGTATTAAATTGCTAGCTGCAAGGGTGCAAAATAAAACCCAAGCCACAATAAACTTGTGCTGAAGTATTTAACTTAGCAGTTGCACAGCTTTGCAGGTTTTGTAATAAATATTATGTTTTAGCACCCTCTTCTGGAACCAAGTAATACTGCTGGTATGGACACTAGAAGGCTTTGCTTAAGCTGGAAAGCAACTGCAAGGTGTCCAGGAAAGTCCTTGGCTGCAGTCACATGTACAGTTTAGTTATGTAGTTTCTTATTCTGTAAATTTACATCATTTTTTCTCATCCCTCTTTTGCTTATCATCTTTATATAAATAGTCTGTATTATTCAATTAAGGCAGCTAAGAACTGGGAAAAGCTCTGAATCAAAAACTGAAGCTGAGCTGTTGCAAAAGACTGCAGTTGTATGCACAGTTGCTTGTTGTCTGCATGTCTCCTGTGAGGAGCCTGGTGGCGTTAACTTGCTGTGAATTGTGGATGGACCTGAATGATCTTCCTCATACCTGCCAGTATTTACTATTAGGGTAGCATATGTGGGATCCAGTTTGGAATCATAGTCATGCTGTGTTGAGACCTACACACAATCACAGTATGATGCATAATGGTGAAATACAAAGGGAAAAGGGTGGAAGGATGCTGCTGTCTGTACTCCTGCCCTGGGAAGTAGAAATGTGTTAATGCCAGAAGAAAGTTGGACGGGGGCAAGTTACCAAATATATTTTGAGTAGAAGAAATGGCTACACTTTATACAATCATAGAATCACCTAGATTGGAAAAGACCTTTAAAATCACCAAGTCCACCACTAAATATATCACTGAGGGCCTCATGTACACAGTTTGTGAACACTTACAGGGTCAGTGATTCTACCAGTGCCCTGGCAGCCTCTTCCAATGCCTGATCACCCTCCTTGTGAAGAAATTTTTCCCAGTATCCAATCTAAACATCCCCTGGTGCAGCTTGAGGCCACAACCTCTCGTCCTATAGCTTGCTACTTGGATGCTTGCATGCATATTTGATCTTGTATATATAGATCCATGTATATCATGATCTATATACATGGATTATATATGTATTTATCATGCCACGATGGCTCCATTCCAAGATAATGCCTTCTTCAGTTATGAATGAAGGAGATATGATGTGAATTAATCAACTACTATTAGTAAACCAGTTTGGAACCATAGGATGATGTCTATGAAATATTTTAATAGCCCTAAAATGTTGTGACAGCTATTTTACAGGAAAGTGGTGGTCCCATACTCAGCAAGCTTACTTTAACTGTAGATTTTAAGTAAAAATCCAGAGAAACAGAACAGTGTAGCTAGGAGGGAGCTGAAATACTTTCCCAGAAGTTAATAGGGCAGTAACTCTTACTGGCTTGCTGCTTGTTTGCAGTGCAGAAAAAAAACCTTGCTAAGTATGTGTAACAACCGCTTAGGCTAGAATTAGAGCGATGTTTAAAGATCAGGAAACATACCAAAGTACAAACTTATCAACAAATAACAGAAAATATGTTTTTAATTAAATACGCATGCAAGACATGCTGAGTAGGTTAGGCAGAATATTAAAGAGGGCTATGAATGTTGAAAGAGAAGGCTAGGAATGGAAAGAGAGGACTCTGGTTTGATTTGGTGAAAAAGAGAAGGCTAGGAATGGAAAGAGAGGACTCTGGTTTGATTTGGTGAAGTGACAGCAAATTTGAGGATGTGAATGAGGGCTGCATGTGAAGGTCATTTTGATTTAAAGGTATCTTGAAAGGATGAGGCATGTGGCACACTCAATGAACAGGAAAACCAAAAATTTTTAGCTTCTCTTAAAATGGGAGATTTTTAAATAATGCATAAAAGAAACAAAAAGACCTGTATTAAGTTTGACATCTCACTGCAATTGTTGCATCTCCATGGGAAATCAGGCTTCTGTAGTAGTGGATTTAAACCCCTTTCCAGTAGTTTTACACAACAAAGTCATAACCTTATTCTTTTGCTAAAAGCAGTCCATAACAGAATCAAGATTATCTCATGATTTCTGGAATACAGTTTTTCCCTCAGATTTCTCTTTAGTGGCAAGACCAGCCTTGCTGCACATCCCTCAATGTTAACAGAAAGTGAGACCCAAGGTCGTGTGGAATGTGAACCGGGATGCGGTGGCACAGGTATGAAGACTGCCCCGGCTGAGGCCGGGTAGCTCTCTTGTCCCCCTCTAGATCAAACCGCGGGAAGCAAGTGCGCCAGTGACAAGAGGCAGAAAGAGGAGCTGGAGACCAGGTTGCCCCATCGTTATTAGACCTACACCACTGATCTAAGTCGTGGCACAGCGATGAGTCCTAGTCTTAACCTCATGCGCAGGGCTTCACCCGCGGCATGTTTTCTTCCACACCGGCTGCTCCCTTCCCGTTTCCTCCGCCGCACAAGGCAGCTACTGGCCGGGCAACCAACCAGCCCACTCTGCTTGCAAGCCCTCCCTGCCAGCGCTGCCGGTCCTGTTGAGGCAGCAGCCCCATCGCTACAATCGTGACGGAAAAGAGAGGACCGCCTCCGAGCTGCTACCGTCAACGGGCCCCTCAGCCTCCCCTAGGGCGGGGGCGACAGCTGCCCTGGCCGTCGGTGGCGCGGAGCATGCCGGGACTTGTTGTCCTTGTTGGCGAGAGTGCCCGCCGGCTCCGGCAGTTGGGGAGGGAGGTGAACTGCAGCTCCCGGCATGCACTGCGCGCAGCCGGTGTCACCGCTGGAAGTCCTGCCCCGTTCGCTGGCTGGAGCTCTCACGGCGGGTCGTGAAGCGGTGGGAGGAGACAGGGCAGGTGTCACCGCCCCGCCGGCGCGACCGGGGGCCTCTCAGCGAGTCTCGCTGTCTTGGTTGGGCCGCGGAGTCGCCCTCTCCCTTCCCGGGAGTAGCGGCCAGCGATGCGAGGCGCAGTCTCTTTCCCGTAGCCGCCGGCGTTTCTCTGCTCTCCCCTCCCCTCCCCTCAGCCCCGCGGCGCGACCTGCCGAGGGGCCGGCCGATCCCTGGCGGCTCTCACGCAGGGCTGAGCGGGCCCTGACGGCCGCCGGTGGTGGTCGGCCCAGCCCGGGAAAGCGGCTGCTGCAGCTGGGAGGCATCTTGAGGAGGAGCCCCCGGTGTCGGCGGAGAGGCGGCCGGCGCCATGTGGCAGAGCATCGGGCTGACCTTGCTGGTGATTGTGGCCACCCTGGCCTGCGTGCTGCTCTTCATGCTGTGCGGTGAGTTCCGCCCGCTCCCCTCGGCGGCGGAGTGCGAGGGAGTGTGGGAGGGCTGGCCTGGCTCTGGTGTACAGTGCTTGTGTCCCCCACTTTCACTCTCCGCCTTCTCAAATCTCTGGTGGTTCCTCTTCGCACAGATTGACTGGAGGAAATGAAAGGGCACCGTGCCCCGGGGTGTGCGGGAATGCGTGTGGTTTGCAGCGCCCCCTTCTCTTTGTTTCCAAATAATCTAGAGCCTTGAAATGCCTCCAGAGTTTAATTTGGTCACTAATCTGAAGCTGATAGCTTTTTGTTTTATGTGAACGGACTACTGAGCAGTCATATGCCTGACATGCCGGTGAATGGAAGAAGTAAACTTCCTGCTGGTAACACCTCAGCTTCTGGCGTCTGTTTGCTAGAACAGAATAGAGAGCAGCTCTCAGGAGTTGTGTTGTTCTTTTTTTCTTATGTGAATCCAAAACTTGTGCGTATATATACGCATAGGTATGTATGTATAGAGAAGGGTTATTTAAATGGAAGGCAAAATTTGCATGTCTGGAGGTCTTGGAAGGAATCAGCAGTGTAGTGTATGGAGATGTTGGGATCAATATGCTGAATTTTTTAACCCACTCCAAACCCACCACCACCAAACTATGCGGTACCTTATGGTGAAATGCCTGTGAGATAAAAAGCAAATACCAGGTGGATTGTAAGTGATTACTGAAAAACAAGGGAGCAAAGTGGAGTTAGCTGACGTCCAAAATTTAAAATGTGTTGTTAATTGTGGTCAGAATAGCAAAACATTGTGAAAAGGTTTTGCAGTGTCAGAGGCAAAATGGGAGGTGAAATATGGTATTAACATGAATGGACTAATGCACATAAAATGCAAAGTGTATGCCCGATTAATTTGTATGGGGAAATATAATGGCTTCAGACTGAGCTCTTAGTATCCCCCAAAAAGGATTAGCTGCAGTATTTGCAAGTACTTCTCCAAAATATTTGTTCAATGCTTTGTAGCAAGCAAATAGGCAAGTCAAACAGTACAAGTTTAAAGCAGAAAATTGCTACAGGAATCTACCACATGTCTGTGTCTCAGTGCATTTTCTTGCTAAAATTTATTACCTTATTAAAAAAAGAAAAGAAGGCCTAGTTTCTTTTTAAAAAGATAGAATTTCCAGCCTAAATGATTCTATGATCACATAGTTCTCACCATAAAATGATTTCTGCGTGGCGAAGCTGTAAACAGGTTAGGTTTGTCTAGCCTGGAAAACAGATGACTGGAGGAAAGGTAATGGTTATAGAGCTGAGAAAAGTTAAAAGGGTGAACTGGAAATGGTTGTGCAACTTCATCATTACAGAGGAATCAGAGTACATGAAGTTAAATGATCAAGCAGCAGACTTAAAGTTTTCGTTTACACAATTGGGAAGTAAACTGCAAGCTCATTAACAAAGAATATTGTGGTTTCTGAAACTTCTGTCATTTAAAGTTCATAGAAGAATGGTCCATATCTTTAAGCTGTAGAATGAATACTCGGGTAAGGAAGCTTCTGAAATATAGATAACTGGTCCTGTAAAGCTGTATGAGGATATGTTTCTCTGGGCTTGTGCTCTTTCCTGTGTGTCCTGTACTGTCCATTGTTACAGAGCAAACGGTTACCTAAGTGGCTATTTATTAAAGTGTCTGTACGCTCATTAGATTTGTCTGGCCACTTTTCCTCTTTTGTAAGATGAAAGGTGGTTCGTTCTACTTGCTAGGTAGCTTATGTTTTTTAGGGTTTTTATGCTTTCAGACTGTGCATGTGAGATCTTTGTTTACTCTGCTGAAAGTTTGAAATGATTTTGTTGCATGCTGTTCAAAGCTGGAAACGAAGATAATTTCCTTCAGGCCTTTCGTCTTTTGTCTGTATGTGACAAGTAGAATTAAAATGCTAGGGTTCTCTAACTTTGTCTGCTAACCAAAACATCTCTCGAATGCTTTCTTGCTTAAAAAGGGAAAAAGTAACTAGTAAATGCCTTTTTAAAGGGTTTATAAATACTTAACAATTTAAAGATCCATGTTGTACATTCAGCTTGGATTCCATGAATACTTTGTTTTGAATCCTTCATTGTGTTTTACTTTCAACAGCATCAGAGCTTGTAAAAAGATAGCTAAAAATCACCTAGATTTCAAAAGTACTGATCACGGGAAGCTGACATGTTCATTGGTTTTTCTGTGAGGATTAGAAGTGACTCAGTAGGATTTGATAATGACTTACAGTATCGGTAATTATTTTTTCCACATACAGCATTTATTAATATTGGTACATGTCTAGCTCTTGTGCCATGATTATTAATAGAAAATATTCAAGGAAAACAGTGGCAAGACCACTACTAGAAAAAAAAATGAGTACAAGCTGCTTCCAATTCAACTGTTTATCTGTACCAGCAATAGACAGTTTCTTATCCACCTGCTTACCTACTGGCTTCTATTCTTTACAGCCTGTTAGACTCCCAGGGAGACTGAGTGCTGGTATGACAGGATATGAATAAATGTCAGCCAGTGAGACATACAAATTAAAGGACAAACCTGACACGAGAATGGCTGGATATAATCCTGAGTAAGCTTGATCTGATGATAAGAATGTTTTACAGACATCTGATGAGAAGCATCGAAACAGCCTCTTCAAAAGACTTACAAGATCAAAAGCTGTAAACATAAATTTTGCGTGGCTTTTAAAAGGGCTTGTGCTGTGAATGCTTGCAGAGAACAGTAGACTTAAATACCCAGGAGGAGGCCTATGATCACGTGGATTTCTGCTGCTTATCACATACGATATGATAAGTGCTATCAAAACTTAAATAATGGGGGGAAAAAAACTTCATTTTATCATTTTTCTCAAGTGAAGAGACAAAATTCAAAGCACAAACTACCAGAACTTATTTGGACCAGTTCTTCAGCCATGAGAAAAGCAAAGTTTTATGCCCAAATTGGGCATTTATGCCTATAATAAAGAACTTTGTAGAAATGACCTGATTTTCTTTCAGACATTTCTGGTTGCTTCTAACTGCTACTTTCAATGTTAATGTGAATTTGTTTGGAAGGCTTATAGCTAGCAACATCTCTATTTGTAAACTGATCACATCTGACATAGAAACCATTGAGGGACTGTAAACACAGATTTTTGGTTTGTTTTTGTTGGTTTTTTTTTTCAGTTTCTCTGTTAAAAAGTGGGACTAAGGTAACTTGATGCCACTTTTTTAATTCCCTTTTCTGATTTCCTTTCTCTGGCTTCTCTCTGGTAGTCTCATTGCTACCTCTGTGTATTCCATGTTCCTCTGCAGATGGAATTCATGCATAGTCAAGGACAAGGTAAAATACCAGCCAAGATGAACTGAAGTACTGCTTACCTCTGTGTATTTGTTTTGTTTTCTTAGTGTAGTAATGCGTGGAGCCATATGAAATTGTAGGAGTGCCTTCAGTGGAACAGATGGAAGTGTTCATCTCATTTGGCAAGAGAGGCTAATGAGATGTGGTTTGAGGGACTGGCCTTAAAAAGCATGTAACTCATAAAATGCTGAGACAAATGTGTGGTTTGTTTCACAACTCTGAATTCAGTTGCAGATGGGAAAATATGTGAGTCCTGAATTCTACCTGAATAACTTTAATGCTTTGTTTAAACAGTTTTGTAACTATCCTGAATGAGTGAACCTTGTAAATTACTTCAAAAGATGAGGAAAGTCATGCTTGATTAGACCAGCAATAAAAAGACAGTACCCTTTAATTTGAAGTTGAGTTTTGAAATGATTACAGATGGAAGATGAGAAGAGAGCCGAGTTTCCTTGCAATCAGTCAGCAAGCAACAATGGGACCAGGTTTAAGGAACCGTGCAGAGCCAGGCACCATGTTGCTGATGTCTTCTGTTACTTCAGTGTCAGAAGAGTGGATGCTTCCTTCAGTCTGATCATCTCCGTAGCAAAGCTTTCCACTAGGGCAGTGTATTACCTACATCTTAAAAATGGCACACCATCAAAGTGACTTGTCAGTGGTCACAGAAGACATCTGACACTCCTCAGAGTAGAGCCCTGTTCTCTCAAATCTCCGGTTAGCGTCGGAAGCTCTGTGCTCCTTTTTTAAAGCTGTAGCTGCTTATGATTTTCTGTGATAGACACTTCATTTGAATAAAGGCAACATTCACCTTGGTGATAACCTAGTTCCAAACTAGTCCTCATGTGCTGGAGTAATAACGTCCTATTTTCAAATCAGCAGGGACACAGAGGTAAAATGATCTTGTAAGACTGCACAGAAAGTCCATAGCAGGATCAGAAATAGAAGCCAGATTTTCAGACTCTGTCTTGTGCCATTACTACATCACCTTTCCTCCTTTCTTGGTTTAACTTGTATTTCACAGAAGAAAAATCAGGTTGCTTTACCTCAGCATTTCATATTAGCCCTGGGTTTTGTTTTGTTTCCTTTTCCTGATTCAAATTGAAAGTGTGCTCCAATAAAGAAAACCATCCGTTAGCTTTTGCATTCAAGACAGTAAGGTGAATGGAATACATGGACCTGAGACTTGTACCCCTCACCATCTGAGGTGGATTAAGGCAGTTAGATCACTTTGCTTCTTTCCCCTTTACAAAGAGCTAGGAGCTGGTGGAAAGTAACAGGAAAGGTAGCTTTTATGAAGCATAGTCAAATCATAAAATGTGTTTAACATCCTGATACTGCATAGATGTTACATAGTATGTATGAGTCAGTGAAAGAGGCTTTGACTCATGGTGCCATCTTCACAAACACATTGCAACACGATTTTATAAGAGGGGTTGACATACTGATGGAATAATGCCAAATGTGCCTTAAATGTCTTTGAATGGCACCTGGCAGTGGTATTTTAAGTGACAGAGTGGCTCTCAGCTTTTAGTGAGTGCTAAACTCTGCAAGGCTGGGAGCTGCTATTTTTTCTAAATGCAAAATACTGTCTGTCATAGACAGGATTTCACGACTTGCTCTGAATTCAAGTATCTGTTAGACCTAGAGCTGGAGCCTGTTCTTTAAATTGCTATGATTTACTGTAGGGTCTGGCTTGCCTCTTTGCGTAGCAGTGTCTTTCACCAATTAATGTAGGAATATTGTATGTTATAGTCTGCATGTTATCAGTGCTTGTTTGCTGAAGCTGTATTGTGGGTATGCTGTTCAACTTCCCGTGGTTCAATCAAGGAAAGGATGCTTTGAAAAGGTAAATCAAATGGCTAAAGAAAATACAGCAAACACTAGAAGACTGATTCAAATCAAGAATAGTGAAGTTAAACCAGTAGGACTTCTTGGAGAGCAGCTTACCTGAACAAAGTGGAAGCTTTTGAGGTGCAAAACAGTGATGTCAGTTACCTGTTCAGGAAGAGCTCTACAGCAAAAGAGCTGCAAAGCTAAACTGAGCTGTATAGAGAAAGGAATTCGTGGAAATGCCCATTTTTCCTTTTTTTGGGTGTTTTTTTTTATTGTGTCTTTTAAATTACTTAATAGTTATTTTAAGTACACAATTAAGTAACTTACAGTTCTTCAGTATGGCATGGTGTTGGGTGTTACCATTCTGCCATGTTCTTAAGAGGCTGAGAAATTAATGGAAAATGCAGTCTTCTGATTCAGAAGAAACTACGTACTGTGAATCTGCCTCCAGGCTTTATGTGTGGTTTTGTTTAGTGGTGTATTTAGTTGATATTGTTGCTGGAGAGAGTTTCTCCTACCCAGAATAACTTGTTCTTTCGTAGTCTGGTTATTTCCAAGGAAATTCTTACTTGCTTAGTAACAGTGAGGCGACAGGGAGTCTCAGCTGAAGAGGTAGTCTCAGCTTGATTCAGACAAGTGTATTTGTTTTGGGGATTTTTTCTTAACTTTCCATCCAAGCTGGCACTGTAACTAGAGCAAGTGAGAAAAAGAAATCTTTCTACTTTTGATTACTGTATACCCAAATGTCTCTGCTACAGGCTGGGAAATCTTGTGAGGTTTTGAAACTCTAATTTTCAAGCCTGGTTGCCCTCCCCCTATTACCGTTGGCTAAGCCTATTGTAATTTTCTTTTCAATGCACTTCATTGTGGTTCATTTCACCTGGCTGTTATCACTGGTGTGGTGGTTTGCCAGCTGCAGCCCAGTCATGTTGGCTGATTATTTATACTGTCTTGTTTGTAGTCTTGAGCTAGAATGCTTTTAAGTGTGTTTGTGGCACTGGGTATTCTGGGTATGCAGACATGGAAAAAAAAAAATGCTGCTTTTCTTAAGAGTGTCTGCAAATGAACTGTGACATTCTTTAGTACTCCTCCCCTCACAGTAGTAAATCTGTGTGTTGAGTGGCCTTTTTGCAGTGATAGAGGAAGTATGTGGTCTGCTCCAGCCTAAACTAAAATACCTCTCTTAATGGGGTATTTATTTGTGCAAAACATATTCGAGTCATGCTTCTGTGAAGTGCTCTCTATAACTCTTTTGGGAAGGCCCTGAATATTTTTTGGCTCGTTCTCCCTGCTCTGTGGTGTTCTCTGCAAGTGATGTGTCTGTTTCATAGTAATTGACTTTGCAGGTGGTTTTAATTAGGGTTTTAAACAATCAAATAAAAACATGACCCCAACAAAATAATTCATGGCTGGCAGTCATCCCCCTCTATGCTTAAGTGGATTTAGTAGAATGTATCACATGATTTTCATGCACTTCTAAGTGTAGTGTCTCAAATTTTGCATCTGTCAACAAATTGGGGAGTTGGAGATATTTTAAAATGTCTTGTAATATGCTGTGTAGGTCTCACTTTCTTGCAAGAGTCCTATGTTCACATGAACTATTTTATGCGTTTTCTTTCCTGTGTGAACAAGCACGGCTTTTGGAAATTTGATTACTTTTAAGGATGCTTAGATCCATGAGAAGAATTAATTGGTTTATGGTCCTCAAAACACAGAAACCATTGAAGATCACAAAGATCTGAAATATCTCCCAGTGGAAGCAACTTTCAGAGGTGCAGCTTCAATTTTTACATCTAGATCTGAAAGAAAAAAAATGCCAAACCCAGACATCTTTCACTGAGGCTTTTTCTAGGTGCAGGGGGCTTTAATTCATTTATGAGATATCAGATTCAATTTGATCACAAATCTTGTAAAGGTTTAGGTGTTAATGGAAAAGGGAATACTTGGTAAGCATTAAAGATTGTAATATAAAAGCTTTCCTCCACCTTTCCTCAGCAGCAGTTAAGTTACAGAACTAAAAAGTCTACAGGATGTGAAAACCATTCCAGGAGGGAGCGGAAGGGTGGGATCTTGTTTCTTCCTAAGAAGTGGCGTGCTCAAATTGGCATGACTGATTACGGAAGAAGCAGACAAATAGTGGTGCTGTGGTTACAGAAATGACACTTATTAGTCTTTCGTCCCCTTCCCTAGCACATCTGAGTTGTCCACGCTTAAGAAATCTGTTTCTGCTGATAGATGCGTAATTGGGAGTATGGGTTTCCCAGCTCTGTGAAACAGGACTCTTACAATTTGCATCTGTAGACAGAAGTCTGCTTGACAACGAAGGGCACCCAGTAATAGGGTTAAGGAGATAGTAATAGGGCTAAGGAGATAGAAAGACCTTCTGAACTCTGTGCAAGACAGGTAGGTTCTGGGATTGCAAATGATGCTTAGATAGCATCTGTTTTCAAGTAGCTGTTTAAATTTTATTCTGCTTAACTCTGTATTATACAGAGAAGTTACATTTCTGTTCTATAAATGGTGAAACTTGACTGGTTGGTTAGAGGGAAAGGGATAACAGTAATTCTCAGCTGGGTAAAACTCCAGTCTCTCTTGATGTAAATGCTTAGATAAGGGAGAGACCTTTTAAAAGGAAGATTTCGGTTTACGTTTAGATATTCTTTGTATCTGCTTTTTAAAGTTCCTTGGCTACCTGTTACATGAGAGAAGAGGAGCTGGATCTTAACTATTTTTCAAGAGAGATTTTAGCAACATGACTATCCCAAACCTTTACTTGGGACCCAGAGTATTCTAGTGGTGGAGCAGAACATAAATTTACCAGAGAATGTTTATTTAGTGGGATTTAGACATGGTGAGGGAACACCTTGAATTAGGGGCGTGTGATCTTTTAGTGAACATAAGGAAGACCTTGTACATTTCAAAATAGGATTTATTATAAAAGATGGTATTGATTTCAAGATCTCCCAAAGTGTGCATAACAGTGCTTGCATAATGCAGCTTTTAAAATGTGGTCTGTGAGGGTAGAAACTCCAGTGCTGCCTTTTTACACTGTCTGTGTAATGAATCCTGATTCCTTGTTTTAGGTGTAACCACAGAAGTTGCTTTTCTCCTGACAGTTCTTTATCTGTGCAGTCATGATCACCCACCTACTGCTCACTTTGGCAGTACAATTTGTCCAGAGCTTAAATGTTTGCTGTTGGATGAGGACAAACTATCGAATTGGTATTTACAGGACTGTAGAAAGGGGTTTGTGGGAGAGGTTTTTGGGGTTTGAGTGATTTTTTTTCTCACTTTTCTGGTCTAATTTGACTGAAGGATGACTATCGATTTCTAAGGAGTAACTGAGCATTACCTTTTTTTCTTTCTCCTGCAGGCTGGTATGTCGTCTGGCAATTGTTTTTGTCCAAATTCAAATTCCTGAGAGAATTAATAGGTGATACGGGGTCTCAGCAGGGAGACAACGAGCCTTCAGAGACTGAAGCTGACCAGGAGACTCCACCTTCACCCCTGAGAAGCAGACAGAAGTCTGCTCGGCAACGAAGGGCACCTACAGAAGACACAACCTAAAGTACTCTGTTGAACTTCTGACTAATTATGAATGGTTAAGCACCTCTGCACTGTGTTGTTCAGTGGTTTGATCTTACTGAAAAACTGACTTAAGAGGTAGTGTTAATACCTGTGGACCTTTACTTTTGAACTCTACCAATGTAAGCTACTTCGGCAGAAGTTCAGGGAGGGCTTCAGCAGCAAGCCATAGAATACTGAAAGAAAGAAGGGATGGAGAGAAACCTCTGTCAAAAAATGCTGAACCGCTGTAGTTCCTGTCACTGCACACAGGTTAAAAACAGGTCCCGGACCATAGGCTTAGCCTTTGCATTAGTCTGAGCATAGTGAGCATTTCAGAGTTGAAATGGTTTCTAAATTATTTTTTTCTTTACAGCACTGTAACTACATATAGTGAAATTGAGTTTTATTTCCTTAACTATATATGAATATATATTTTTTCTTCAACCTTGAGAATGCATGTGTATTTGAAAAACAGTTGAAAGGATATCCTGCTTTAGAAAGTATTCTAAAGTGAGATTTTAATTATGTTCTTATATAAAAAGTATAAATGAAATAAGAAAAATCAATATTAGATGCACATGGTTTGGAGGTTTTTTTAATCTCCCGTTTAAAAAGAAAGGAATCAGGTGGTAAGACCTGTTTTCTTGGTTTTGGCATAAGAAGGGTAACGGGTTAAACAGTCTTGTTAGGTCTGTTTTTCCTGAACCTTTTACTCTAAGTCCAGCTTACATTGGAGAGGGGAAGGTGCCTAGGTTATGTACTCACCACATAGTATTCTGAAGTACTGTCTTTGGGCTTTGAATACTAAGCACTTCCCTAGTTCACTTTGTACACCTTTACATCAGGTACATGGTAGCTGACATAACTTCTTTCCTGGAACCAGTTAAGGCATTCTGACCAGTTTGGTAGACATCACTGTAGCACTTTGATAGTGTTATAGGAGTGAATTTGGTACCTCAGGTTTGCTGGAGGATTTACTGATGTATTTTTTTTTTTTTTTACTGGTAGCAAGCAGTTGCTCCTATTTCTTTGAGAATGAGTTACATGGCTATTTCGACGTCGCACTTCAGAGCAAACAGCTTCACTTCTGTTTATCTAGCAGCTCTGAAGACTGATGCGGGAGATCTTTGGGAAGAGGAGGAACATGCATGTACCACCTCTGATACGTGTGTGTGTGAGAGAGAGAGAACTACCAATAAGTCTTGTCATGAACAGATCCAGTTTTCTCTTAAAGCTTGGGTATGTGGTAGTGTTTGCGCCATTGCTCCCTGTATGAAAACTTAAACAGGACTACAAAATTGGTCTTGTACTTCCAGCTGTTAAGAAGTTTAAACATATTACTTCCAAACTGGTGGTTTGGTTTAGTTATGTGGCTAAAAGCAGCATTTAGCTTTTCATCAGGTAGGCCTACGTCTGGGAAAAGAGCACTCTTTTAGTGCCTTTATCTTTTGTGAATACTGCTCAAAAGCTAATGAGAGCATTCACTTTATAAAATGATTTGGATGTTTCAGTATTAAAATATATAAGATCAACCCTGACCTTCCTCTGAAGCCTGAAAGTCTGCTTTGTTTACTAGCATGTGCATACAAGCATGCTTTGTGTTACAGGGTTACATTTTCAAGCATGATTAGGGAGTGCTATGCACATATCCTCAAAACACATATAGGAGTATTGATAGTCTTCTTCCTCTATCGTGTCTGCTGGCAAGGGAATGCCTAATGATGCTGCTCTTGTATTTTTAATTAGTAAAATCGATTAGTAAAATTGAATTAGTAAAAATAAGCAAAAGCAATCAGATTCTATTTCCAGCTGCTTCCAGTCACTTGCTTTGCACAACTTAATGTCACAATATTCTTGTGTCTGTACATCTTGTCACATGATGAGACTTACATTTTAGCAGTGCTAACCAGTTGCTGGTACATTTTCTTAAGAAACATCTTTAGCATCTTTGTCTTGGGCTTTGCTAATATAGGCTTACAAATAAAGATCTTTTTTTTGTACTGACGGGTAGGGTATTGACACTCCACTGCACTTCACTTTCACCTAGAGTTTAGTGCACGGAAGATGGCAAAAGACTGGTTCGTGCATGTAGTATCCCCAGCTGAGATGTAAGGAAAGGTTAACTCAGTCTCTGCTTCTAGTAGCTGTGAAGAAATGTGAAGTTACAGCAATATACATACCGAGTCAGGGTAGCTCTAAAGGCGCAAGAATATAGACTCTGGAGCATGACAATGAAGGAAAAATCCATGCAGGTTTGAGTGCTGGCATTGATCAAATATGCAATAAGATGGATGTGGAAACCTCTGGGTAGCTCATCTGCTCTAGCCAAACAACTCCCTTCTCCCTTCCTTGCTGTATGTAGATGTACATTTCACTCTTCAAAGTTGCTTTCAGTCTCTTTTATTCTTTTTTGTTGTTGTTAAACAGCTAATGCTGTTTTTTAATCTTTCTGTGACATAGCTGCCAATGATGATGTCTACCTAATGTATAACTTTAATGATCCTATTAGTATCAGGCGAAAGGTTTATATTGCGTGGCTTGGAAGAATTTTGTAATGCTGATGTCTTCTGTCAATGCATATTTTTTCCTGAAGGAGTCTGTAGTCAAATATCCGTACAGGGTGCTTCATATGCAAACCTGTAAAAGTGAAGCTGTGTGTGAAAGTGTACTTGTGATAAGACCTGGGTTCTGATTGCTGGCAGTCCAGTATACTCATGTCTTTGAATCAATTTTTTACCAGTGTACTTCTGAAATGTTACTGGTGGGTAAGCACTTAAGTTTGAATTGACCCATTCAAGTCTGAAACCTGATGAAGGCAACAGGTTACACAGTTGATCTTGTTTTGTTTAGTAGGATCTAGTTTAAAAACTGTTTATTGCCTTATTGTTGCAGCCATTCTCTTGAATGTATTTTGGGTTCTTATTTTAAATACAGTCATATCACCTTTGTTGCAGGGGCTGTGTAACTGAATAAGCAGTAATTACCTATGTTACATGTGACAGTGCTGCACTTGTGAGCAACTCGCTGCTTAATATCAGGTTTTACACTGAACTAGACCTGTGTATGTACTTCTGTTTCATCTGGAAATGATTGGCACAAAGAATGTGCTCAACGTGATCATTTGCTTCTTCAGTGTTATGATACTGTACCTAAAGCTCCTGTGGTTGTCGGTTTTCATTGTTAACTGTTCTTTTAACTGACTGCACAAATGAAAAATAAAGTAACCGGACTTGAGACAAATATTTTGAGTGGTTTTCTGACTTCTCTTTAAGTGGGGTAAGACTTTTTGGAGTAAGACTGTGGAGTAAGACTCCTTGTTTGAGCATGCAGCACTACAACAATCTAGCTGGTATAGTACCTACAGATTGCTTCATTACAAAGGGTGGGTTAGCGACTCTCTTCTAGAGCAGTTGTTATTACAGGTGTGTGTTCTGCCTTATCTATCCGTGAAGGTTGTCACCCGTTGTGTTTGTGATGCACCTCCCTCTGCTAGCACAGTTTGTGCCTGCTGCCACAGGGATTCATCCTGAATGCTGGCAGTGTCCTTGAACTCGAAAGGGTAAAAAGAAGGTGTTATGTATGAGGGAGCTGTGGCCTGAGAGGTGTTTACCTGTGAGTCCCTGATGCCTGGGGCTGTGTGCTGCACAATTCCTGCAGCTGGCTTCCACCTACATCCCATTGAAACTTCAGCCTTCTATGCAGACAACTGCAGAGCTTGCACGTAGGAAGGTACATGTAACCTGTGTCCTCAGAACCACTGTAGAGAGGGGTAGCTTGCTGTAAGTCACATCAGTTTCCTCTCCTCTGTGCTGAAGTATTTTAACATCTTGTGTGGGGAGTTAAAAGCTTCCTCTCAGCAAGTATGTGTGTGTTCACAAATAACACCAGTTCTGGCTTGAACTACTGGGGCTATGTTATGGGTTTTTATTTCAGTCAGTCTTGAACTTTCTAGCACAGTGCCCTGCTGCTTATTTAAGGACCTAATCAGGAGCCTTCTGTTATTCTGAGAACTTCCTGCTCATTTAGAGTTAATCGCAGTTCCTGTGTTTCAAATCAGCCTTTCGGTGCCAGCTGATCATCTGTTAGCTTTGTCCTGTTTGAACATGTCAGGCAACATCCTTGCCACTGCAGAATGTGTCAATACGTCTCTTGCACATCATTTCCAACGTGAGTGGTTTTGGCTTTTGATAATGTAAGGAGTTACTACCCTCAAGTTCTGTGAGACACTGCTTTAAGAATGTTCTAGAGGGCACAGGAGATACCACCTAGGGATCTGAGCAGTTGTGAGAGGCCTGAGCTTGGTGCTGCAAGGCACAAATGTGTGGCTCAGGCACACCAGGTCTGCAGCATCGATTGTGTTTTCCAATGCTGAAACCCCCTGAAGCCGTCTTGCTGTTGTGGCTGGACAGCACCACATCTGTGGTGACTTCTGACCCTGGCACAGCCTCATCTTTGTCTTTCCAGGAACACGGGTGGCCTGATCGACCTCTGCTGCTGATCGGGTGCAGGCACGTTCGCAAACACCCAGCACAGGTACTGCTTTGACATTGGGAAATGCTCATCCTTCCTCCAGACCAGTGGAGGGCATGCCAAGGGGCTGGCAATTTCACTGAGTTGCAGGTCTTCTACTGACTGTTTTGGCCTCTTTATTTTCCAGAATCACAGGGTTTAATGATTGTGACATTTAAGTATTAGCAATGACACTTACTGCAGCCTTCATTTTTACACTTTCTGAAGGAGTCTCATACTGAGGGCAGACTTGATTTCACTTTTCCTTGTCCCTGCTTCCAGGATGCCCTCATGTTTCTCCTGAATTCTGGAGTGATGTCATGGATGGGGAAAGCACTTTTTCGCAGACTGGCTGCTTAAACAGGTGAATTTCTCACAGTGCAGATCCAGTCTGAAACCCTGGAAGGTTTCAGTATCAAAGTTGGGTACGAAGGCATCGTTGGAGCTGGCTTGTCACCACTAGGTGGCATGGGCCTGCAAGCTTTGCGGGTAGAAGTCCGCTTTGCAGGAGGAAAAGTGGACCGCCCACCAGGGCCAGTGCAGATGGCCTCCTTTGCGACCTCCTTGCCGCAGGGTTACACTGTAACATCGTGAAGAGCAGCTTAAGAAATTGGTCGGTTTTGTGATTTTCGTTTTTTGTCGGTGGGTTTTTGTTTGTTTTGTTTTTTTTTTTTTCTGATGGAGATACTCATGGGCAAACCCCAAGTTCACAGAGTAATAAGAGGTACAGGCAAGGCAGTATGTACTAACAGGTCAAATGACTGTGAGCAATAGGGAGTTGGATGTGTGAGTTTACCCTGAATGTACACATCTGCCCCTGTTAAGAGTATGAAGCTATGTGCACCATGGCCTGATCCAATGGGGCAGCTCTTACCTTCTTAGACATTGGCAGGCTGATAGAGATGCTCAGAGATCAAAACCAATTGAATCGTGCACACACACATCCCCTTAAGTAAAATGTCTCCAAAGTCCAGAATGAAAAATAAATCCTTTGTTTTACAAGTGGCTGCCATGTTTACTGCTATGAAGGACCAGCAATAAACCAGTGTCCAGTGCAGCACATAGGAAGGGATCACAGCTTTGCTCCTTGCTTGCCTGCTTACTTATGTCTTGGGATGCTCTGCACACTGAGCAGGGCCAGCAAGAGATCAGAGCTTCTTGGGCTTTGTGCTGCAGCCAGCTCCCACCCTCCCTTTAGCTGATTTCACCCTGTGCAAGGGAGATGTGAAAAGCTAATTAGCTCCTACTTGTGCAAAAGGTAGTGCTTAGGAAGCCTTTTTTCCTCCCTTTTAATTTGTGTTAAAATGCCAGGGCTAGAGGCTTATCAGGCCTGGAGGACTCACTGCTGTGTGCATGGAGTGGGCTTTAAAAATAGATGCATCTCAGCTGGTGATGGGGACACAGCTGTTGCTTTTCTGTGCATAAAGCTTGTGGTAAAGAAGCAGTCTTGTGGAATGGGAGCTTGTCGAATTGTTCTTCTGGTTTCTCATCATACACTGTCCTCCTGGGAATCCATGGATGCTTTCAGGTAGAAAACACTGTATTTCACTCCACTACTTGATTGGTTTTGTTTCTAAGGATGTGAAACTGAGCAATGTTCGCAGGGCATGGAGGTTTTGTTCTCTGTTGCCTTGCCTGAAAGGCAGGATTGGCATTTTCTGCCAAAGTTATTCCTTGTTCAGTTGATTGGATCAGTTGCTCCAAAGGCTTTGTTGGGTTTGCTGTGGAAGAGATGCCACATACTCCTGTGCTATCGGGCTATTGTAAGACTCCACAAGTAGAAAAAGGTATCTGTAGCTCTGTCCGTCTGACAAGTACCTGATGAGATGTAATGACTCCACATGAAGTACATGAATTGTGCAGTTTACCCCCATGACAGCACAGTCTGGGGCAGGTTAATCTGCTGGAACACTGGTCAACTGCAGGAGTCTGGTTTGCATGGTAATGGTCTGGTATTGTTGTGCTGGTCTGAAAGCAGGTGTGCTTTGTTTTCTCCGACAGCAGTACGGTTGGTTTGTGGTGCAGGAGCAGCTTGGGAGCATCTTGATGCTTCCCTGTCTAGTCAGCTGCTCCGGATGTGCAATTACTTAACTCTGCATCTGGCACATGATCTCCCTGTAAATGAGTGTTTGAAACTGTGTATTATGTTTTTCCAGCAAGGCAGAGATGGATACAGGATTGATTGCTTATTGGGAGGGAGCTAAACATCTCCTGAACAACCATATTTGTGATACAAGTAACATCTGCCTGATTTTCCTGTCCTGACTCCTGGGTTTCTCTGCCCTCTTACAAGGAAGAGCAACCAAATCCAGAAATACCTTCAGGGTGGGAGCTCCTAAGTAAGCCCTCTGTAACTAAATGGACTCTCTGCTGCTGTGAGCCCAGAGTTGATAAGAGAACTGCTGGGAGAATGGAGGCATAGAGATGTGAGCTACCTCTGTGCTTTTCCCTGGCACAGAGCACATTTTAGTCAATGGGACTTCAGAGTCAGGTCTGATCCCATAGCCTGGGAAGTGGCTGGACTGGGAGGAGCTTGGATGTGGGCTGTAACATTCGCAGGCTCAGGCTCCAGCACTGCTTTGGCTTACTGAACCCTTGGGACCAGTGCTTTGATGGTACCAATACCATCTTCAGGCCTGATAGACCAGGAGAAGTCTACGAGTTTCTAAGGTGCTTTAGTGTTCCGGCTGTGACCTGAACCATGTATGTGGCCACACTGAGTTTCAGGAGGCAGGTGTTAGGGTCTGGGGATAGGATTAATCATATTCAAAATTTAGGAGCCTATGATACGGTTATTTGCAGCTGAGCTACTTGTCTTGGTTGCTCATGAAGAACTAAAGGAGACCTAATCACTGGAGCCTAGAGAGGGTTTATTGCATCCTAAATTAGACTTGATCATATGACTTGGTCTCTATTCAGTTTGAAAGGGACCCTGAAGATGTCTTGTATGCATATCTTGTTGGGTAAGCACGAGCAACTGCATCTGGGGTGTCTCACACTGGGAGCAGAGGTGGGATAATCCAACATAGGGCACTCTGGGCATCACCTCCCCATGGAGAAGAAAGGAGCATTTTCATGTGTATATCTCGGTGTCTTCAGCAGCTTTACTCCTCAGATGGAGCTGTGGTTCTATGTAATGCCCACGTTTGTGGGATGTGTGGATTTCCACCTTAACTTCTCAGTGTGCAGAGGCAGCTCCACACCTCCTGCTGCTGCAGGATGGAAATGGTGAGTCCTGCATCCTGATGAGGTGCAGCCCTGCTCTGGGAATGTTCTTTTGGTCATTGTAGCACTGCGTACAAAAGTGATGTCGGTTGCCAGCAGGGCTGTGCTCATTCCTTAAGTAAATCTGCAAGTGGACAACCGGAAGCTGTGTCTTGGGCAGTGGGGCCTGAAAATAACGGCAGGTCAATCACTGCAGAGCACACGTGCTTGTTCTCGTTTACCACAAAATAATTTACTTTGAAAGCCAAGTCAACTTCCCCCATTGTGGAGTGCATGCTAATCACAGGTACCTGTTTCCAGCTCGAATTGCCTCCTGAGATCAAAGGCTTTTGGGTGGGCTGTTCCTACCATGCTTCATAAAAACAAAGCACAGGGTGAAAACACAGTACAAGTCCATTCATGTTCATGGCCACTCACCCTTGTGGCTATTTATCTTTGAGCTTAGCTGGGAATAAAGGCAGACTTCAATCACTGTGCAGGGGAATGCCCTGGAGCCTTCTAGCTGCACAAAAAGTTTGAAAATATACTTTGATTCCTTTCTGCAAGACCATCTAAAGCCTGAGAAGGCTTTTATCTCCTCTTTGCCGTTCTCTCTGCTCTCCTGTTTCAGCCTTATTGCCTGTCCTTCACTGTAACCTTCATTTAACTATGCTTAAGTCTGCCTTTATATAAATAGCAGATGCTTCTAGGACATTGCTATTGCGCCTTCCTGGTTGGCAACGGTTTGGGTAGCCCTGGCTGCAATGTTCAGCAAGGTAAAGCTAGCAAAGTAGGAAGCTATGAAGTGCCTCTTGGATTTGGTTTCCTGCAGCTCTGGAAAGAGCTCTGATCATTGCTTCTGTAATTAAGGGAAATTATAGGGAAGGAGAAAGAAGTCCCCCTGATCTCAGGGGACAAGCCTCCCATCAACAGCAAGGTTATAACACCCCTCCCTTGGCTGGTGAAGCTGATGCCCCATGGGTGTGAGTGTGCATGGAACCAGGGAATCGTGGTTTTTACTTGGGCCTGTGGTATGTGCAACCTTTTGGGAGCCCACTGCGTGCGGAGGTGGCTGCGGCTGCTTGTGCTGCATCGCAGAGGGAATGCATTGCGAAAGAGCTGAGCTTTATATATCATCCGTAGAGCCGATGCTTTGGGCTCCCCCGTTCTGTTTGTGCTGTAGTCAGCCTGATCTGTTGAATTGCTGCTAGGACAGAAAAAGGTGCCATGTCTTGGTGCTCAGCAGAGGAGAATAAACCCCTGTCAGGCAGGCAGTACATACACTGAATCCATTGCAGCTGCAGGCCTGTGGGTGCAGGTTTCCTAGGCACGGGGCTTTGCATGGGAACTCATGCAGAGGTCAGTAGCAACAGGGCAGACTCCTGCAAGGAACTGTGACTTGATGGACTGCCTGTGGGGGTGCAGGGCTGGGGGTAAATACTCAGGGAGGTGTAGACAAGAAAGCAAACGGCAGGTCCGTTCTCGGTTAAACCTAGCGTGATGCTGTCTGCTGAAAAGAGAACTGAAGAACAAACTCCTGTGAGAAGGTTACTATTGCAAGTTAAACCCCAGGAGAGGTGGGAAAGTCACATTCCTCTCAGCATTGCCTCTCTGAGCATTTCACTTCTGCTCAGAAGCCTGCAGTAACTGTGAGCCAAGACCATGTTGTGGTGGAGACATAGGTTTATCGGGAGGCCCAAGGAGCTTTTGTCTCCTCATTTCCTGCCGTGGAACTGTCAACTCCTGATTTTCTGCTGCCCTGCAAGGCTAAAGAGGATGGCGCTGCAACAGCCATCAGTGTGCATGCCCAGCACACCCAGATGGTGTGACCTGAAATTTTACTGGTGAAGCACTGGCACAGGTTGCCCAGAGAAGCTGTGGCTGCCCCATCCCTGGCAGTGTTCAAGGCCAGGTTGGACTGGGCTTGGAGCAACCTGGTCTAGTGGGAGGTGTCCCTGCCCATGGCAGGGGGTTGGAACTGGATGAGCTTTAAGTTCCCTTCCAACCCAAACCGTTCTGTGATTCTATGAAACTTTCCTTGCTGATCCTTTGCTTTGGGAGGCCATCCTCAAGTGGTCCTAGCCACTGACCTGGAAGGTGATGGGATGAAAAGCACCCTGCTCTGAAGCAGCAGCTCCCCAGAGGCAATGCCATGGGAAGGTCTCCTCTGAGGACGGGCTGCTGACTGGCTGGAGTAAGGAGCCAAGCATGTTCACATTTGCCACTAGTGAGGCAGTCTTCCACACCGGACATCAGACAGGCATTTCACACTGGTCATCGACTTGATTGCCAAACAGCAGCATCTTCTTGGCAACTGCATAGGGACACTGTAGCTCAGGGAGGGGAGCAAAGAGGCTCTGGTTTCTCTTCTGAACTGTTTTGGGTGTCCAGTCCCTGCTTTGTTGTTAGCTCACCTTTTTAAATTTAGCAGAGGAATAAACAAAGCACTTTCAGGAAGCAGCCCTGCATCACCAGCTTCCCCCTTGGGACACACAAGCCAAACTGGGCACATTGCTCTCAAGTCTTGCTCTGTACTTAACTCCCCAGCAGGAATGCCTTTTACGGCAGCTGAGAACTGGCCTAAGCATGGAGCAGGTCGCAGGCACTTCCTCTGCTCTTTGCAAACCCAGGGTGTTCAACAGGAGGTAGGGCAGTGCCTTGGCAACAGTGAAATGGGACAGTATCTGATGGGAAACGCTCTGTGATCCTTGAACGCTTGGTTGTTTTGGATGGAACCCACTCCCAGATAATGCTCAACTTGACATGTAGTAGAAGAGGGGTGCTCTCAGCTTTGGGAAGGAGGGGAGGATAGCTACACTAAGTAGTTGTTCTACTGGTTCGCTTGTGGATCATGGCTTCTCCAGTAAATGCTGGAGTTGGGGAGCAGGCCATAGTGCATGGACAGTCACATCCATGTCCTGCCACCCCACCTTCCTGAGGGACTGCGTTGAGAGGAACTGCCCCGTTCACCACAAGGACCAGTCTGGGATGCAGCAGGAACAGATGCTGGCAATGGGACAGAAGCCTAGACACTGATGATTGTATTTCAGACTTGATCCCTTGTGTATCTGAGTTGGATAAATGCTTCAATTGCTTCTTCTAGACAGGCAGAGAAACTGCCTGTCCCCTCCTCTCATATCCTCAAGTTCTCATTTCACCCTATAAGCACTGATCACTGGAAAGACAAAAAGTGAACACCTCATTTTAGAATGGCTTTGATAATATTGCTTCTTGCTAATACTTCCTTTTAATATGCTTAGAGAACTCTGAAAACAAGAAAAAGTAAGACCAAGTGTTACCTTTTTTATATAAAAAAGCTAGTCATTTAATCATTTTAAAATGACTCTCTACAAGATAACAAACTGTAATACAGGCTTGCAATAAAGGTTCTCCTTTCGAAAGCACAAACTATCAACATAACCACTAAGCTTCAAAACACTTTTTCACTTTCTAATAATACACAGTGAAAAAAGAAAATGGATAAGGAAATCCAAAAGAATTCCAAACAATACTAGTACAAAACAGGTTCAGGTGGATTGCTTTTTGGCAACTGGCTATCGGTTACCATTAGCATAACTGCACTTTCTGGATGTTACACCAGAGCCAGGCACTGGAGCCAATTCTGGGCCAGCTGAGGTTGTGCTGGCTCCTGCTGCCCTTCCAGGAATGTTGGGCAGACTGTAGAAGTGTGACATTAAGGTCGCTAAGAACAGTCTTCACTCTGAAACAATACATTAAGGCTGCAAGATTTCATATGCTGCTGAAATGGTTTTGTTATGTAAGACAGCAAATCCTGTTTCAGTAAGGCACGTGTTCGGATACATACTAGGAAGTGAGAAGTTAGGCCAAAGTGCCTGTTCTTGAGGTGCCACCAGTGATCCATTTGCTGACGTGAATCCTCAGAATGCATCAATGTGGGACTACCTTGAATTACTCAAGGAGAGTAGTGTTTCTGCTTTAAAAATGCCAGAATCACCTGGAATTTACCTGAGCTATTGAAGCTTTGTTTCTAGTCTGAGGGCCATGGGTAAATGGCATTCTGATTTATTCTTAGGGGGTTCACAAAAGGCAACTGAGACAAATAAGCCTATGTGTGTTTTGGAGCAGCCAGCATACATGACATTTCTAAAGCAGTCTACCAATCTGCTAACAATTTTTAAGGGTTTAAACTGAAAGTTACTGGGTGGGATTGTGTGTATTTACTGATGGAATGGCCCCATTAAAACAGAGGTCATTTTTCGCAACAGTGTAGTGCAGAAGGATCAGCACCTATGCAAGAGAATTTGGGGTGAAAAAAGCACCCAAGAGCTGAACGGAAGTCTGAATTCCAACAGATGCAACTAATTCCCAGGAATGTGTCCTACAAAAATAAGTGCTATTTCTTCATTACATTGTGTATATGCTATAGAGATGCTTATCTGTTATTTCAAATCAAGCTATTTTCTTTCCATAGGAATTACAATGTGTATGTTAATCCCTCTGGAAGGGACTAGTATTTTGAGACATTGCTCATCTGCAGCCTCAAAGATGAGATGAGTCCAATGAATTCTGGGATGCTTTTAGGATAAGTCTTGAGTCCATGAACAGTAAGGCTTTTGAGCCTGTTAAATCTAATTGCCAATGCAAGGACATACAAGGTAAACGTGTATGAATTTACCTTGCTGGGAATTCATCCACTTTTTGAAATCCCATCTTGCAGTTATCAGAAACAGTGAAATTTGAATGCTGTAAGATACTAAATATATATGATTCTGCCTTCCTCCTTAGAAGGTTCTGTTTCTTATATGGCCTAAAAAAGCTTTTCTTCAAAATGCTGCATGCCTTGCTTGGAGTGCTGCTTGTTGCAGTTGTGCATATATGCCAGTCAGAATGATTGAATGCTGTACATAACAAAGTGACAGCGAGAAGAGAGTTAAATTTCATGGAATTAACCTATAGAAAGTAACTTCTAAGAAGGGAACGGAGTTCTATGAGAACCATTACACTTGCTTCGTGGATTGGTACAAGTAGGTTTCACAACCAAGTCCATGTGCCAAAATCAAGACGGAATGAAACAAGAGGAATGCAGCATCCAGTTAACAAATATACTGAGGAAACAGGCAGTATATACAAAAGATGCATGCTGCTTACCCGACGCATAATCTTTAAGGTGCTTAGCTGATATTTTAGCAAACACAGCAACATATACATATATGCAGTATATACGAATCTAAATGTGTATTAGAAACATAATACAGAACCAGATATACTCCCAGATCCCTGATTTCATTAGATTCTCTAACAAGTATGAATGTATTTAAAATATTCCATTTAAAAAATCTAAAAAAATAAATGATAACATTTACACAAAAATAGCTCCAGTTTGCTCTTCTGTTTTGCCGCTCACAGACTGGGCTCTACTGGGTTTTATAAGGATGCCATTTGGACCAGCGAGAGTTTGAACAACTGTGCGTGACGCGACAGCTCTGTCACTTGGTCCACCATCTTCTGCAGGGCTGCTGTGTTGGGGTAATGCAAGGCAGCCGTCTTGGTAGCCAGAACCACACTCCTCAGCAGTTCACACAGCTGATTGCTGGAGTTCATCACTTTGTTGCGTATGTCCTGAGTCGTCACTTGCCTCGTGAGCATGTCCCCAATGAACACAAGTTTGTGAGCGCTCAAAATGACGAATTTGCTGTGAGCCACAAAGATCCGGGGGGGCTGAGAAGCGTTGACGCAACTGAAAAAGGCATCGATGGCATTTAGGAGGGAGTTGAAGTGAGTCTCACATTGGTCAGAATAGAACAAAAGCAGCTGGCTGTCACGGGAGGTGGCAGCACTGTTTGCAGTTTGGAGAGCTTGAGGTGGCTTCCATTTTGAGATGTCATTCTCTACTGGCTTTGTGATCTCTTGCTCCAGACGTTGAAACTGATTGATCTGAAAGGCAAATTAAAAAGCTCTCTTCAGAGAATATTCACATAAGATGTTGTGTTACGTATTACAGTTTCACCTTATGCCTCGGGGTACTCCTGGGTATCCTAGACTGACCTGTGATAAATAAAAAGTAGTATTATGTTTTCTAAGATCTTTTATTGTGGAGAGTGAGGGGTAATCAAGCACTCTGGTTACCATAAAGCCAAACACACAGAGTTCAGATGAGAAAAAACATCTAAAATACTCTATTTGCATAAAAAAACCCAAAGCACAAAGCCTCATGAATTTACAGCCTGCTGCTCACTTGGAATGTTCTGAAATCACAAGTGAGAGAGATGGATCCAAGTGGCAGCAACTCCTACACAATCTTTAAAAAGCTGCCATCTCTGTGGGATTTTGAGATGACAAACATTTAACTCTCACCTCTGCATTGCTTGTACAATTTTCTGCCATAAGACATGGCAAAAATGTTATTGAAGAATTAACATGAGGGCAATGTGATAGCTCTCAATCTCACATGACCTACCTTTTGGCATTTAAAATTATGTTAAGCACAGTATTTAAGTTGATGCTATTGATGTTCACTGAAGAGATGCACAGGCATATTCAGCACGTGTATTCAGTGTGGTGCAGTGATTAAGGCACTGGACCGCAGATCAAGAAAGCCATGTTCTCCAGCTGGCTTTGTGACTGACCCACTGTGAGACATTGCAGAAGTCTGTTTCTCCTCTGTGGTAAACTTTTAAGACATAGAACGCCTTTTATTGTATGTATGCGCTGGGCCCACCACAATGGTGCATCGTATAAAAAATAATTAGCCTCTTAAATAGAGATGGTTGGAAATTGTTTTCAAGGGGCAGGCTTATTCCTGCCACAAGAAATGTTTTAAACAGAGAGCTGCGTCTGTGCTTACACTCAATTACGAAGTGGCAAAAAGGAAATAACACAGGCAGAGATGCTGATCTTCAGAATGGCTACTCTGGGGTTAATACTTAAGATTTCTTTGCCATAAGGAATTGTTGACACAGATGCACAGGGCCAGGAAGGTGCTAAAATCTTGATGCTCACCATTTCCCATTTGGAGCATGACAGTGCGTGTCCTTCTCCTTTGTGTTGATGATCCATTAATGGTAGAGCCTGACAGGCACAAATTCCACTTCAAAAGAAACTAACCAGGAGCTGCTGTTTAGCCAAGACCTAATACCTGCCATCTTCACAGTCTAGCACCTGGGACTTTCCAACTGCATGTGCTGGCACTCATGCATACCTCACAGCCATGATGCTCACTGCTAAGGGAAGGGCCCCTCCTGCTTTACTTGACCATTACTCCCTATGTGCAAGGAACACTGCATTTTAAAGTTGTTATTGCACCCAAGCAAACATACCTGATGGTGCTCAAGCTCCATCTTGCTCTGCTTCATGATATTTTCCTTTTCCAGCAGCTCCTTCTGTTGCCTTTCAAACTCTTCTTTTCCCTGTTTTCCATAACATAAAACACTGTTAAACCAAAACCGCTCCTGAGCTAAATGACAACTCACAGGTCAAATAACAGGCTTCTTTGTATTGGCTTTTTCACTGGTAGTGCACCTCTGTGAGTTCAAAGAAAAGGATTGTGTGGCAGAGCAGAAGGCTATCACTATCATGTATACACAACAGTCTTATCTGAGAGGAAGTGTTTGCCCTGCTGAAACTACTTTTCAATATTCATTAGCATGACAATCTGATTGCTACTTTCCTGCAAACACAGGAAAGCACAGACAACAACACTGGGTTTACCCACCTGCAGGTGAACATAATCGTAGTCATCCATCCAGCTCTTTTCTGAGCTCTCACTGGTAGTATTGTGAGGGTGCTGACCTTTATTCAGGAGTGGAGGAAGGGAAGTACAGTGGTTCTGTGCTTTTTCTCCATGACGCTGCATATGAGGATTATCATAAACATAGTCAGGAATGTTTGTGATACTCTCTGGTACGTTTTTGAAACGTGAGCTGCTCAGTGCCTGTTTGAAGAGCATCTCTGCGTTGACACTGATGGTAGTGGTCAGTTGCTTGGCATCGTCTGGGACTGTCCTTGCCACCATTACAAACCGATCTAAGTCATCACACTTGCTCTGCAGTCTATTGACAGCTAGAACATTCAAAGACCAGTTGTAGCTGTTCAGGTCGTGACTGGTTTGGGTAAGGATCTGGTGAGAGTCCTCCAGCCTTTGCACCTCCCTCCTCATTTTGTTAAGGAGGCTGAACTCGGACAGGCAGGAAGCATTGGCTGCTGATCCTTTAGCAAACTGGAGGTACTCCAACAGCGACTGCTCTACCTTATCCACAGCAGCGTGAATTTCATTGATGTGTTTCTCCATATATCCGTAAGATCGCCAGTCTGCTGTTACAAAAGCCATAAGGTTATTGACAGCTGTCTCCACCATCTGCTGGAGACAATAAAGCCTCTCTATAGCAGTGTCTGGATCAAGGATTAATCTTTTGTCCTGTGCAGTCGATGCTGAGAAAGAAGAGTCTTTTGATGTTGTTGAAGATGTGGACATGTTACTCCTTGTGCTTCCTGTGCTGGAGAAAGACAACCTATTTATCCCATCAGTCACATCCTGTAAGCCTTTAGTGTCTTGGAGGACTGGTGGTGGCACATCATATACACCTTCTCTTCCTTCTGGGATGAGACTTTCATTGAGTCCTGTCTGTTGTCCTGGGAATGCAACTCCCCTTGGGGTATCATAAACATCTTTTTGAGGTGCAATTTGCTGTCCAAGAAAATGGTTTTGCTGGTTCATAGGGATGTCATAAACACCATGTTTCTGTGGCACTCCGTCCGACAATAACAGGCTCTCAGGAGGAAATTTATTAAGTTCTTTTCCAGTTGCTTTGGTGATGGGAGGAGGAATATCATATACTCCTTCTGGTCTTGCACTGTGGCCCACTGCAGATGAAAAATCCTGCACATTTTCCCTCAGGCCTGTATCATCTCGGCATGCAGATGGATTGGTTGCATAGACCTGATTCACAGAAAGCAAACCATGAAACCTTTGGCTAGAATAGTAAAGTATTTTACATCTTCCATATGGCCTATAAAATGATGGGATGGAAGATCTGCTATTGACTTTTATAAAATTCAGTTACTTATCCTGAGTTTGAGCACCCATTTTAGTATCTCACGTTTTAACATTTACCTTGCTGCAAATTATCATAAGCAGCAAAATCAAAAAAGGCAGCATGCTGTGACAAAGATAATGTAGGTCTAATTATCAGTTCACACTCTGTAACATTAATAATGTTGATGCAGTGCTTCACTTTACCAGTTTTAACAGTTTAGGAACCTAAGGAAATCTTTGAATCTCCTTTTCCTTCAGGAAAATCTTCTTTAAATATGTCTTTGATCAGACATGAAAGTACAGGATCTTGTGGAAACAGTATAATACTTACCACTTTGGCAGGTGGTATGTCATAGACTCCTAAAGCTTTTGCTTCTCCGATGGGAACTGGAAGTGCAGGCCCCTTAACTGATGTGGGGGGAATGTCATATATCTAAAGAAAGAATAAATTTGTTACATAAAGAAGTCACCTCAGGAAAGCTCTACTCTCAGACAAGTTTTCTTGGTTTCTGTGTTTCCTCTTAAACAGCCTTCAACTTTGTGTCATATGGGAAAGCTGCTTGGATTTGCCTGGTATTTCAGACAGCTGGGAAGAAATGCACTTAGCTAGGTCCCCTCTGGGCAATTGTGTGGACACCAGGTTGGAGAGGTCATCACAGTCATCACAGCTGACTTCCATCCTGAGAGTTATGTCAAGGCCAGTCTATTACAGATACCTACTGGGGTGAACAGGGAAGCACTATCCTCATGTGACCAGAACTGATCACACTCTTACTAATAGAGATTTAGAGGGGTTGAGGAATACACTTGTACTAGTACACACCAAACTCTCTGAAGCTAAGACTGTCCCTATCAGCATCACCCATCTGCTTTACTGGGTGCAGTGTAAGCTGCTTCTAGCAGAGTGCAGCTGTCAGATGTTTCAAGTGTCCCACTTGGTGGCATGTCCTACACTTATAGTGGGTTCTGCATGAAGTCTAAGGCCACTCTCTGAATGTCTCTTAACCCAGACTTCCCAGCATTTGGTGCCAGTTTGTTTTATGTACTATTGTTTCAGGGTTGCTCCCGAGGGGAGTAATCTTGAGGACTGAATGCTAAGTGTGTTCCCCTGAACAAAGATGTATTTCAAGTTCAGTGACATGGTGCAGTAGATATGTGGTGAAAAAAAGCTCCCTGCATAGCAGCTGTTCATTTAGGCGATGATTTTACCCTTAGTGAGTGAATTACTGTCAACTAACAACAAAGTAAGGGGAAAAAAAAGTGTCCCTAGGCAGCAAGTTTATTCTGTTTAGATACACTCTTTGATCAAAACACAGAGAACAAATGGGATTTTCATGTTTGGTGTGCTGCCAAATCTTAGTCAACATCAAATACAACTTTGAAATACTTCTGCACTCTGTGAATAAGCCACAGTATTTAATTAAAACATATTTTATCTCTGAAATGAGAGAACTTGCTTTGCTCATAAACTTCTGGTAAACATTCATCACCTTTTGTGCCCTGTCAGTGCTGTTGGCAGTTTTATTGGTACCTACCCCTTGAAGAGGGCGAACCGGGGGGATATCATAGGTATCCTTCTGGTATTTGGAAGGGAATTCATAAACATAACCTTGTCCTGACCTGACTGGAGTTATTACCTGTGAGATAAAAGAAAAAGAGGAAACATAAGTCTTTGAGGATCTTACCATGTTCTTTCTGTAACTAAACAGGGTGTAAACAATCCAGTACTATTAACATTTATGTTTTATGTAGCAACGTTAGTGACACAAGCCTACATATACTTCTGACGGTGGAATGCTGCAAAATGATTGTTAGAAGCTATAAATGCACCATCTTCTCCTTCCAGACTAGTTCTGACACAGCTGCTTCCTAGTGCTATAGTTTCTTCTATTTGTCATGCACAGATTCTCCAACAGGTCTAAGGGAGCTTGGTCCCACTAACTGCCCATTAGCACAGACTACATGAAGTGACAGTTGCATCACCCACTCACTGAGATAAGGGCTATGTATACGCTGATCCTATTGAGGTGTTGAGTGTCTCCACTTACTGATAGAGATGTAAAATACTATGCTCAGGCTCTGGGAGTCTAATCCTTTGCTTGTGGAGGTTATTTCCCACCTACTCCGGCAGGACATCTACGTTCCTGTGCTCCATAGGACAATGGCATAACATCCTGAATAACTGAGTGGGAGCTGTGGCTTGGAAATTCTTTACATAGAAAGGCTTAAACCTTTCAAAGCAGGACATTCAATTTTGCTGTCTCTGGTTTGTCTATATTGGTGGCTAAGCCATTCTTGAAGTATATAATGCGAGAAGAGCTTCTGGGGGAAAAAAAAAGGTTAGAATTTACTTTTTTTTGGTCATTTTCTAAACCATTAACTACTATAATGACTTCATATAAAATTTGGTGAAAAATAAATACCTTATGTGCTGGACAGCATCTGCATGGCAGAGTTTCAGTATAGTGTGGTATAAAAGAAATGTTACCTAACCCCAAGAAAGAGCTGTGTTTATAGTGGAAACGCTGACATCTTAACCTCTGCTGGTGCTACTTAGCTCTAAGAAAAAATACAAATACTGTAACCTGAAGGCATAAAATGGCAAATTATACAGGCCCGTACACAATGCGTCTTTGTACTCAGCTGAGGAGTATTCTGTACCAGAGCTACCTGTCTTTAGAAATGTATGCAAGATGTACAATAGAGTTTCTGCCCAAATGCTCAGTAAAGATCGTGTAACAGTTTTTGCTGTAAGGAATCTTAGCATCCTGGTCAGATTTTACTCTGAGTTTTGCTTGATTGAGGTCTGCAGCAAAAGTCCTTGATGCTAACCTGCTACCTCCTCTCTGCTATGTTAACAGCACAGGCTTTTTCTCTTTTTACTTGCTGCCCAAATATTGCTGTGTAATATCTGTCCCTGTACTGTGAAACAAACACTTGATTTCCACAGTCACCCTCCCCAAGATGACTGCCATTCCAGTGTACAGTACATACACTGATTCAGTGTGAGCAGCCCAAGGCAGTGCGCCTGGTAATGCCAGCCACTGTGTTGACTGTGTGCGCTTTAAGAGAGGAAGGAGCATCCATGTGTGGCAGGCGCAGGAAGACAGTGGGTTTTGTTGCTGTATTTCCTTGAATTAGCATCAGAAGTCAGGAACTGGAAATAGTATGGCCTCCAGAGCACCGGGTCAGTTTGCTACTCATGAGAGAACTCCGGCTGGATTGGATGTGGGATTAACAGAGTTTACATATATACCAGATTTTTAAAAAGAATCTAAAAATGTACTGAATTTATGACAGGTCCTTCCTCTCCCACAGAGTCATCTTCTGCAATGTAAAAGGTCTTTACAGACAGAACTTGTGAGAAAGTTGTTAAATTACTGGAAGCTGCCCATAATGAATCACTCCAGACATTACCCCTCCCAGGCCACTCTCACATAATTCTGGGATTATTTTGTTTGCCTGAGAAACTTGTGTCAACATTGCTTCCTCATGCTTTTCTGCCAGAGAAGGCTAGTGATCAGACCAGCACAGTTTGCTATATATTTTCTGCAAACCCCCCTTCAAGTCAGGACAGAAGGATTTGGTTTTAAGCAATGTTTACTCAGAGGTTCCTTCAAGAGGCTCTAAAACTACAGCCATGGTGCTGCTTCAATAACAAGTCACTGGGTATTTAAAAATGATCCTCCAGGATAACCAACCATGCACAGTAAATACAAAGGGCTGTTCTCTGGGTACCCCATCTCTGCTAACTGTTCTGCTATTCTGAACACTGGCATTAGGCTACTTGCTAATATGCTAGGAAACTGCTTGACCATCCCAAAGGAAAAAACCAACAGACTGTTCATGGCAGGCAGCCAGAGGCCCCATGCCAGCCCTGGAAGCAGGGAAGACCAGTGACTGTTGCAGTTTGGCTCTGCTTTACCTGCCAATCACTACCTAGCTGGACAAGGCAGGAGTCAGGCTGTGTCAGGCTCCAAACAGACAGGTCCCTCAGACTGAAATGTTTATAAACCCGTGTTCTGTTGTGGTCTACCCCAGAAGCAGAACTCTGTCGTAAATCCAGAGCAGGACTAAAATTTGACTGGATCTCCTCCAGGCCTCAGATGTGGGTCGCTTCTTACAGTCCTGCCCATGGAAGCAATGTACAACACCTGCAGAAGCCTTATGGCAACTCAGTTCTCCAAGGTTCGCACAGCACTTTAGAGAAGCGCCTTTACACAAGCTCAGCAATAACTGTCCTACCCATCTCATACCTAAATTCATACAAGATACAAGACACCACCTCTTTCCTTGCTCAAAGAAGTCATTTCCATGAGCAAACTCAAAAGAAGTCACAGGCCCCTAATAAAATAAAAGGGAGATGATGTGAGCAGCACGGGTAACAAGGCACAGAATCACAGAAAGCTGGAAAAAACCTTTAAGATCATCAAGTCCAACCATAAACCGAACACCGCCAAGTCCATCACTAAAGCATGTCTCTATGCACGCACAAGTAAAACCACTTGCTCTCGTTGTTACAGGTAAACATGATATTTTGCTTTTGTGGAAAGAAGCCCTGGTGGCAAAGCAGATGATATCCTTACACCAGGGGCCCTGGAACATTCATGGAAAAGAAGCTGGGCTCATTTACAGAGGGATCCTCCCTCATTCTGCATAGAACAGTATCATGCAGCTGCAGTTATTCCTGTAGCTCATCCTCAGAGACCTTTCCCACTTTTCGAAAAAGGCTGACATACCAGTTGCTGTATGAAAGGTTTACAGTGCTACAAGGCTGCTGGTTTTACTTACTGTGCTATGATACAATCCTAAATAACCACACTAAAGCTAGACTGGCCAGATCAAAGAAGCTGGTTTCAGTCACCGCTGCAAGGCTTTTTTTATCTTATATCTTTCACTCTTTCCCAAGTTGCAAATCCGAAGTAGTGGTCAAGCAGGGTCACTCCTTTATTTGGGTGTTTCTGGCTGTTGTCAAAGGAAGTCAGAGGTTAAAATGCTAAGTGCCTGATTCTGGGTATTCATCATAAGTACAGCCTGCCTATATGGGTGACTGTGGACAGAACACCTGACCGGTCTGCAGGGCTGCACTTAGCAGTGCACTCTACTTAAGGTGACATTTATTTTCCAAATAAGACTGCATCAGAGGCTTTTATGCTTGCTCCTTTTTAGGGTTCTGAAAAAGCTATATGAAAGACAGAAAATACAACCGTAAGAAAATCAGCAACACCCAAGGTTTGTTGATAGCATGAAAGAAAGCTTTTTTCTCCCAGTGACTCAAGTATATTTTCCTGTGTGGAGGATTATTACCCAGTAACAACATGCTCTGAGCTATTTCATCATAAAATCCTCTACAAATGCTAATCTGGTCTCACTGAGTACAAGAAGGTTTCCTCTGCTTATCTCAACCCCTGTTGCCTTCCAGCACTTTTCATTAGGTTAAACATGCCTCTGGACTGCTTGTTCCTAGTCAGTTCAGAACAGAAGCAGCTCATCACCAAAACATACCTTGAGTGAAGGTTTTGTAGCAGCAATTAAAAGAATATCCATGCTACTGGCAAAGTGAAAATGTGAAGCATGTTCTGACTCTCATGTCCCCAAGACAGGATCACATACGGGAAGCCAGGACATGTGGTCACACTGCTCTTCTATATGAGGAAGAGAAAGGTAGCTGGATAGGTGAAGTAAAAGAGTTACCAAGCTTGGTATTTTCAGAAGTAACTTTTGATTTTGGATATTCAACCATAAATATATTAAATGAGCTTGTTGCTTCTGAATTAGATACTCAGCCCTCTGACAGCATCACTGAGCCATTTTTGTATGGGTTTGAATGTTTGATGGCAGTTTAGTTTTGAAGATGGACTTCAGAAAATAGGTGGCTAAGAAAGAAAAGTTCCCTTATCCCACTTCTGGAACAGGGATAGCAGCCCCATCTGGTACTTACTTAGGAATTTATTTCCTAACAAATGTCACTGAACTGCAGAACTCATGAGGAGTCTTTTTCCTTTTACCTCTTCTCTTTTAAGAATGCCTGTGGTCATCTGAGTTTAAATAATCCTGCATTTCAAACCAGCAATTTTCCGTGTTTACGCACTGAAGGAAACAGATGGTCTTCCCACAAACTATCTAGCCCAACATTCTCAAAACATTGTTAACCACTTAATAGGTGCAGAGCAGCTAACAGGCACCAGGTTTGGCTCTGGTGAAATGTGTAATGAGGCTACTTCAAACTCCAGTACTGCAAAACAGAGACAGCTTAGAATAAAATTTGTTCTGCTCACGTTGAAGATGATGCTCTTCCAAAAGCAATTACCTGGGTCTTTTCCATGCCAATGGCATGTTCCTAACCAAGAAAAAGTGCTTATTATGCATGTACTTTGCAAAATATACAGTCCTGTGGGTCATAAAATTCCTCTTCCTTAAACATATGGAAAAAAAACCCTGTCCTACTTCTTCTAGGATTAAAATGGACATTAGGCTGCAACACAGAACACTCCTAAGGCAGCAACAATACAATTCTCATGCTTATGGCACAGTACAATACTGTAGTTTACATTGTCTAACACGGACAAAAAGTGAATGAATTCCTAGGCTTGTAAAGAAAATAAAACAGCCAGAGAGAATATGGAAAAACTATAAA